TGTGACTGGAGGTTCGCACGCTCTGATGAGCTGACGCGCCACTACCGGAAGCATACCGGGGCCAAGCCATTCCAGTGCGGGGTGTGCAACCGCAGCTTCTCCCGCTCCGACCACCTGGCCTTGCACATGAAGAGGCACCAAAACTGAGCTGCTGCGAGGGCCTGCGTGCCTATGCAATCACGCTGATGGTCTGCAGTTCACTTGGCAAAATTTTAACTACAAACTTAACTATATATATATAAAAAGAAAAAGCAAAAAACTGGAAATGTATATTTTGTATATTTGAGAAAACAGGGAGTACATTGTATTAATGCCAAAGTGTTTGGTCCTTTTAGGAATCTGGAATGCTTGCTGTAATGTATATGGCTTTACTCAAGCAGATTTCATCTCATGACAGGCAGCGCATCTCAGCGTGGGTAGGGGGGTGGGGGTGCAATGTGTGTTTGCAGCGTTTTTACCTAAGCACCATCTTTTAATGTGACCGTGTTTAGTAAACAAGTCAGTTGGCAGGCTGAAGGAAGAAGGCTGGATTGTATGTCAAGATTTTACTTGACATCAAGTTGTTTTCAATAATAGAATAATTCCTTAGAGGTGTACACAGTGTACCTGGCAATTCACAAATAGCCATTGAACAAATAAGTGTTTGTTTTGTTTTGTTTTTTTATGAGTTGCCTATATTTGCTATTCAAAATTTTGTAAATATGCAAATCAGCTTTATAGGTTTATTACAAGTTTCCTAAGATTCTTTGGGGGAGAAATCATAAGTAATTTGAAAATAACCATGAATACATTTACAGTTAAATTTTGTTGTAAGATACCTCTTAAACCCTATTAAATTCATTTCTTTAGAGGAAAAGATAATCATCATTCAAATGAACTTAAAAAGCAGATTTAATGCACTGATTAAAATGGGATTTATTTTAAATATGAAAGAGTTTTATATGAATTGTGAACTCAAGAGCTTAAAGATAGTTACAATATATGAAAGTTAAACCTCTTAAAATAAGCTAAACAGTATCATTTTACAGGCGGAGGACTTAACGTAGTTTTCACATGGCAATGTTGAATTTATGATGCAGTTTTCATGTATGAAAACGTTGAATTTCTCATGCAGTTATTTGTTCATGCAGTACTGTTGGTTAAATGCCAGTTTAAGTGGATTTTGCATGTAATATACAGTGACACAGTAATTTTACCTAAATTACAGTGCAGTTTAGTGTATCTATTGTTCATATTGACTCAGTGTCTACCTTTAATTACAAATGACATGTTGAAAACTTAAGGAAGCAAGTACTGCATATATGCAATATAAAATAGTAATGTGATGCTGATGCTATTAACCAAAGGGCAGAATAAATAAGCAAAATGCCAAAAGGGGTCTTAATTGAAATGAAATTTTAATTTTGTTTTTAAAATATTGTTTATTTATTTTGTGCTAATATAGTAAGTTTTTTTAGAAAATTTTCATAACTTGATAAATTATAGTTTTGTTTGTTAGAAAAGTTGCTCTTAAAACGTGTAAATAGATGACAAGTGGTGTAAATATTTTGTAAGCGGCTTCGAAATGTTTATACGTGGAACTTATCTACATGAAAAGCTAAAATCGGTTGCTGTTTTGCTTCTTTTTCCCCTCTTATTTTTGTATTGTGGTCATTTCCTATGCAAATAATGGAGCAAACAGCTGTATAGTTGTAGAATTTTTTTGAAAGAATGAGATGTTTATATATTAATGACAATTTTTTTTGGAAAATAAAAAGTGCCTAAAAGATTCATGTTGTGCCTTCTTCACCTACAATAGCAAACCTGGCAAATTTCGAAAAACAAAAATACCAAATTACATTTCCAAAACTTTAAAGCAGCTGTCGCCAACCAATGGTCCCGCGGACCACTGGTGGTCTGTGAGGTCCGAAAGGTTGGCGGCTGCTGGTTTAAAGGGTCTATCAGGGCAGTTAATAAAAAAAAGTTTCTGCATTGAACAAATACCTACCTTTGTTTAAGACAAAAGAGAGGAATTTGTTTTTAAACTATGATTAGAGGTATAAAGGGAGGCATAATTCATGAATGCTGATTTTTTTCTGGTTAGTACCTTTGATTTGATGTGATGAAAACAAAACTTTGGTCTTCCTCCTAAAAACTTGTAATCCCAGTTGAATGATGAGAATCACACAAGACAAATCCCAATTAAGGGACATGCTACAAAATACCTACCCAGTCTCTGGCCAGTGTGGTTTAGTTGGTTTCAGCTCAGTTAGCATGAGCCGAAATGTCTGGTTCTATTCCCAATTAGAGCAAATGCCTGGATTGCAGGCTCGATCTCCAGGGTGCTTCCCTCCTCCACTGACGTCTCCTCTCTAATAAAAACAAAACGTACGCAGTACTCAACTGCATATCATGAAAAACGGAAAATCAGAGAAGCTGTCAACAGAAGCTTAAGGAAACATGACAACTAAGTGTAATGTAAATTATATGGGATTCTGGCAGAAAACACTTTAGGGAAAAATAGGAAATGTGAATAAAATAAGGAATTTAATGTTTGTTTATTTTTAATAAATTTTTTTTGTTGTTAATCACCTGAGAATATTTTTCCATTGATTTTTAAAGAGTGGAAGGGAGGGGGAGAGACAGAAACATTGGTTACCTCCTGCATGTGCCTGACCAGGGCCAGGACCTGAGGTACACACCTTAACTGGAATTGAACCCATGACCCTTCTGTATGTGAGCCAATGTTCTATCCACTGAGCAACTGGCCAGGGCTGGAATTTAATGTTTTAATATTGGTTTATTGCTTTCGACAAATGTGTCACACTAATATAAACTACTAGAGGCCTGGTGCATGAAATTCGTGCGGTGGGGGGTGGGGGGGTGGGAGGGGAGGGTCCCTCACCTGGCCTGCACCCTCTGGCAATCTGGGACCCCTTGGGGGCTGTTCAACTGCTGGCAGTCAGACTTCCCTCTTGCAATCCAGGACCACTGGCTCCTAACCGCTCAACTGCCTGCCTGCCTCATCGCCCCCAACCCTTCTGCCTGCCTGCCTTATCGCCCCTAACCGCTTGCCTGATTGCCCCTAACTGCTCACCTGCCTGCCTGATCTCCCCTAACCACCTCTGCCTTGGCCCCTGCTGCTGCAGCTTTATCCGGAAGGATATCCGAGATGATGTCAGGAAGGTTGTTTGGCTTTCCAGTCTAATTAGCCTATTACCCTTTTATTTATATACTAATAAAAGGGTAATATGTTAATTAGACCAGACATCCTTCCAAGCATTCTTCCGGACAAAGCCATGGTGGTGGGGGCCAAGGCAGAGGCAATTAGGGGTGATCAGGCAGGCAGGGGAGAGTGGTTAGGGGCGATTAGGCAGGCAGGCATTTGAGTGGTTAGGAGCCAGTGGTCCTGGATTGCAAGAGGGATGTCCAATGCACTGGGCCTCTAGTTATAGAGAATAGAGAATAGGGAGGGATATAACAGGAATTCCATTTTATCTTTATAGTAATTCTATAAATCTAAACTTTTAGAATAAACTTTTTATTGTTTTTTTAAATATATTTTATTAACATTAGAGAGGAAGGGAGAGGGAGAGAGAGAGAAACATCAGTGATAAGAGAGAATCATTGATCGGCTGCCTCCTGCATGCCCCCTACTAGGGATCGAGCCTGAAACCTAGGCATGTGCCCTTGACTGGAATTGAACCCAGGACCCTTCAGTCCACAGGCCGACGCTCTATCCATTGAGCCAAACCAGCTAGGGCAAGAACTATTTTTAGAAAAGCAAAGAATCAGTATGATTATTATATATTTTATATATTTTCAATAAATGGGAAAATCTCTGATGTTAGAGCTGAAGTGAAAATTTCAGTTATATAACATGGCATCATAAGTTTATCCAGCCTCTTTTTGTTTGTTTGTTTTAACTTAAATTCTTTATTGTTTAAAGTAGTACATATGTCTTCTTTCCCCCCATTGACCTCTCCCTGGCTACTTCCACCCCCAAGCACCTACCCTCACCCCCCTACTCTCTGTGTCCATTAGTTATGCTCATAGGCATGCCCACAAGTCCTTTGGTTGATCTCTTACACCCCCATCCCCCATCCTCACTCCCCACCGCCATCCTCCCTCTTAGGTTGGAAGGTCTGTTGGATCCTTCTATGTCTCTGGCTCTATTTTTGTTCAACAGTTTGTTGTTCATTATATTCCACAAATGAGTGAGATCATGTGATATTTATCTTTCTCCAACTGGCTTATTCTGCTTAGCATAATGATCTTCAGGACCATCCATGCTGTTGCAAATAGTAAGAGTTCCTTCTTTTTTACAGCAGCATTGTATTCCATTGTGTAGATGTACCAGTTTTTTAATCCATCTGCTGATGGGCACTTACACTGTTTCCAAATCTTAGCTATTGTATATCTAGCCTCTTGAGTCCTCATTCTTCCCTGTCATTCAAGTTAATATCCAGCTTGAGAATATAATACAAATCACTCCCTAACCAGAATTTCTCATTGGGAGAAAAACTTTTCTAATTTTTTTTTTTTTTGGCTTAAATTTATTTCTAGAAATTGAAATAGGGAGGCTATAGTTTTTTTTGAGCAACTCCTTATATATGTCCAGTAACAAATCAGGGGTGTATCAGTATTCAGTTGTAATTGATAATTCTATGAATTATGAAATTTTCTTGTGAGTAGAAACTTTCACTCTTATTTTGGTTCCCAGCACTTAATTGTATTAATCTTCCTAAAACTTAAATACTATTTTACCCCAGGTTGCAGAGCACAAATGTTTCGAGTCCTCTTTCCCTCTCTTCTGTGGGCTTCCCTAACTCCTTTCTTGTCTGCTACCTGCTCAAATCCTTCTCTGCTAAAACTCATTTCAGACTCTCCATCTTTTTTTTTTATTTTTTATGGTTAAATGATTATTTATTTATTTATTTATTTATTTTTATTGCTAAAAATATTACAAAGGGTATTACATACGTGTCCTTTTTTTTTTCCCCACCCTTAACAATCTCCTGGCCGCCCCTACCCTCCAGTGTCTTATGTCCATTGGTTATGCTTCTATGCATGCATACAAGTCCTTCGGTTGATCTCTTACCCCCATCCCTCCTGCCCCCCAACCCTCCCCGGCCTTCCTGCTCCATCTTTATTAACCACACTCATTGGAACTTCTTTTGTATTTGGAGACACGATAATTTAGCATTTGAATTATTTTCTACCATAAGTGTTTTTCTTGTGTTTTTTTTTTTCTTTTTAATTTATCTTTATTGTTTAAAGTATTACAGATGTCCCCTCTCCCTCCCCCGCATTGACCCTCTCCACTCTGCACCTGCCCCACCCCCCACCTTCACCACATTATTGTCTGTGTCCATGGGTTATGCATATATGTGTTTTTTTCCTCCTCAGATTGTCAACTCCTTGGAAGAAACATCACTTCTTAGACTGTCTTTGTATTTCTTGCTCTTATTGGTAAAGTAGATGTCAAAAATAACTATGGTGCTGTATGAAATGGCTTAAGCCCTGCAGGAATGGAATAAATCTAATTATCGCCAACTTTCCTCTTCGCTATAGCAACACTATAGCATTGTTGCTATAATGTTGGTGTTAGATTGTTGATAAGGTGTGTGACTATGAAACAGATTATAAGGTGAGCAAACAGGTAATGCCTTGTGACTTTTTAAACATTATTAGGGTGTTTTCAAGGGAAAATTATTTTAGACAACTATGACTAATACCCTTCAACTCTGCAAATAATTTAATTGCTGATTATTAGTGCATCCATTAAATGAATATTTGGTTTCAAACGTATTCTGACCAACCTCGTGATAAACAAGCTATTCCAACTAGATGAAAATTGATAATATATCAGGTTCCAATTGACCAGAAGGCAATCTTGTGGCTTGATTTCAGGTAAGTAATGCTCTGAGTTTCGTTCAATTAAGTTCTCATCTCCACTTCCCAGTTATCTTGTTTTTTGTTTTGCTTCATTTTGTCATTTAAATTCTGCTGTTGCAGCTTGTGGTAAGTGCATCATTTCATGGCATTCAATTAGAGAATCCTAGATAAGCATGACTTGGCCTGCCTACATAAAAATGTTCCTCAAAATCTAGTTTGAGTCCTTTCCTATCTGCAACTAAGCCCACCAGAGCTTCCTGGATTAACTTGTGGGCCATAACATAACAAAGAAGGGCTTTACTCTCCATTACTAAATCTGGTCTCTACTTTGAAGTTAACTAAATTCTGTCTTTGGTTAGATTCCTCACTGCAGTGTTAAACTAATCAACATGAAACTTTATTTTTTTTTACCATACCAGTGTTCAGGTGACAAAACCTGACAATTATCTTCACGGTGACTATTAAAAAAATATATGTATATATGTTTATATATATATATATATAATCATGAGAGCTATGTGTGATTGAAAGAATTTGTTACATGAAAACTCAGCATTTTTTTTTGTAAACCAGCAATCTTTATCTATTCCTCTTAGTGCATATCACCCATGAAAGCATTTGGAGCTATAGAAATGGTAATATTCTTGAATATAAAGGTAAAAAGGTTAATGCTATTTGAAAATCAAAGACATTTGAATGATGATATATATGAAAGGAATGGAAAACTAAGAAGCACATATAAACTTCTAGGTAAAAATGTTAGATTACATACATCAAATTTTGTAGCTTCCTAAAACCGAACTGAAATGAAAGGGTTTCCCTACCACTGCCACTTACAAGGCATAAACCTGTGAGGAGCACAGAAAAATAGAAACACCAACAGATTTGTGGGACCTGGAAAGAGCTAGATAGAAGAGGCAAAAACTGAGCAGAATTGAAAAAGCAGAATCCTAGAATAGTAGTGGAGAAAACCAGGAAATAACCTAATTCGAACTCCCACAGATATCCCAAAAGATCTCAAGAATTTGTAGCATCAAGTACTTCTAGAAGTGGAGACAAACTACAATTTTTTAGAACAACTTGTCTAAGAAGTTTTTAATACCTTAGTTTTCCTCCCTCTTCCCCCTCCCTGCCACCTATCCCACCAACACACTCCAACACATACACACTGTGACTAGGGAATCATCAACTAGTCTCCACTCCAACAGAAGAATAAAAATTGATATGCCTATTCTTTGGAAAGGGTAAAGACAGAGGGTCTCTAAATTAGCAGATGACAGGTTCAACTGAAGGCAGGAGTGCCAAACAGAAAATAGGATTGAATGAATGTGCATATTAGTTGCTGGGACCCATTTCTCTAATTTTCCGAATTTAGTTCCTCAAATGCTGAAACAAAGCCTTTATCTTCCTGGTAGGAGGCTGGAAAAGTCTTCAGAATGGACCATTCCAAGAGGAAAGATCTAATTAGACTGAAAATCCCAAGTCCTCCAATAATATGGCCCAGTCAGAACACTCCTAGAAACTCACTGATGATTAGTCTCACGCATATGTTCTGAGCTTCCAATCTGTGATCACTAAATATTAAATATTAACAGATATCCAAGAATTACCAGATATCCGAGGGAACCATCTAAAATGAAACAGGAAACAGAGAAAAGCAACTTGGAGAACAAAGACTACGCAAGGTGGGTAAGATGTTTTTTAAAGCTAGTAATAGCTTCAGAGATAGAGGAAAGGTATTACAGCTATGAAACAAACAGGATGCTTTAAATATGCAGAAAACAAATTAAAATTGAAAATATGAGCAGCAATGAAAGAATCAAAGGTAACAGAGAAGTGCAAAAGAAGAAAAGAAAATTAGCATTCCAGTTGAAGAGGTCCATTATTTAAACAGAAGTTCCAGAAAGGAGAATAGAAAAAAAAAATGAGAGTATAAAAAGAAATTAAGAAAATAATTTATAGAATTCTTTCAAACCAAAGGACATGAATTTCAAAGAAGGTTTTGGGATGTCCTAACAAACCAATGTAAATAGACCAACATCAGTATGAAGTTTCAAATCCTGGGACCTGAAAGAAGTTCAAATAACTCCCAGAGAGAAAAAATAGTCATACATAAAGGAAGCTCAATTGCTTCACACTTTTCAATAGTGACACCGAGATCTAGAAGACAGTGGAGAAATACCTATAGAATTCTCAAGAAAAATGATGTTTAATCTGTAATTTTATACCCAGCCACATTATGTCAACCAAGTGTGAGGAAAGAATAAGACTCTTTTTTTTTTTTTTTTTACATGCAAGGTCTCAAAATTTTTACTTTTTTTACCTCTCACAAAGCTACTGAAGCCTGCACTTCACCAGAATGAGGGAATAAATCAAGAAAGAGAAAGACATTGGTTAATGGAGATGGAACCCTGCACAGATGAGAGGTGAAGCTGAATCTTCAGGATAATGGTCAGAGCAGAATAAAGAAGACTGTGTACTCTCAGAATCAAGGGCAACCAGTTCAGGTTAGAACAAGTTAAAAACCTCTAGAAGAATCTTGCCTGGCCGGTTGCTCAGTGGTTGAGCATAGACCCATGAATCAAGAGGTCATGGTTCAATTCCCCATCAGGGCACATGCCCGTGTTGCCGGCTCAATCCCCAGTACAGGTCATGCAGGAGGCAACTGACCAATGATTCTCTCTAATCACTGATGTTTCTCTCTCTCTCTCTCCTTCTCCCTTCCTCTCTGAAATAATAAAAAAAATTTTTTTTAATCTGTAGAAGAATCTTCTTTAAGATTATGAAATTGATGGAATACCTGATACATCTGAATGTCTTTCAGGACGATTTAGACTGCAGTTGGCAAACTGTAGCCCAAAGTCCAGAACTAACCCAAGGCCTGAAACTTCCTGCCTGTGAGTTATGAGAGGCTTTTACATTTTCAAAAAGTTGGAAAAAAATATGCAGCAGAAACTGTATGTGACCCACAAAGTCTAAAATATTCACAATCGGTCTCTTTTATAAAAAAAAAAAGGTGTCTGACCCCTGATTTAGACAACTGGTGAATATTTGGGGTGTTATAAATTTATGTATGGAAATCCAACCAAAACAAAAAAAAATCACTCACACACATACACACACAAACTCGAAAATATTCCATGTAAAACAAAAAGTTGTACAACTGAAGAGATGACAATGCTAGGTGTTATGTAGAAATATGGAGGTAAATACTGAAGAAAGGCTACAATAGTTGAATGTGGATGTCTCTAGGGATAGAGTAATAGTAGAAGGAAGGTGGGATTATTGATTATATATTAAAAAGCCTTGTAGAGGTATTTACCTTTTTAAACCACATGCGTTTATAATTTTAATAAGAACAAACAGAAGGAGGAAGAGGAGGGGAAGAAGGACAATAAGCCCATAAAGAGTTAAATGCAAACCCCATAGTTCTCTTGAAAACTGCTGGATAATTTGCCACGGTAAACTCTGTACCTCCCCTGGCATCTTATCACCTTTGACAGTTTGTATAAGAGCAGGCTCAGTTTCTAACATGAAGATCAGCATACAGCACAAGTGAAAACTGGAGAAGTGTAGGTTTAGGAGTCAGGTACAATGATATTTAGGGTTTAAAAGCAAAGTGCTTTGGGAACTAATACAGTAAGTCCTCAGTGTTATAGTTCTCTATAGACTTTAAGCGAAATGAGGTACAACGAAACCAATTTTTCCCGAGGCCAACTGATAAAAAATAGAGATAAGTTCCTGCAGCATATGTCTGTTCACAAAATTGTCACCAAACTTCTAATAAGGGCCCCAAACACTGCTAATAGGAAACATTGAAATAAATGTGAGCTATGAAATACTCTATAAATGTGTCGACATTAAAGACAGAGAAGATCCTTATTTTCCAACCTGCTTATCCCAGTTCATTGTTGTGAGTGGCCAAAGCCTGTTCCAGCAACTCAGGGCACAAGGTGGGCACCCACCTTGGACAGGACGCCCTTCCATCTCAGGGTGCACCTCACCCACACCCACAATCAGCCTGGGACAAGTTAGACCGCCATTTCACTTATCGTGCACATCTTTCAGATGTGGGAGTAAACGGAAGGAGCCAGAGAAAACCCAGCAAACCTGGGAGGAATGTGCAAACAGACAGTGGCCCTGGCCTTGGGAATCAATTCCCTGCCCCCTGCCCCATCAACATTATAATGAAACAGCATTGAACAAAACAACTTTATTCACTGGCCGGCTGTATTGAGGTCTATGGTTTATAAAGTACAGAAATATACAAGATGTTATCTTTTAAAAAGGCACAAATGAACCACTTTTCTCTGTTTCTAAATTTTGGGCTTGGCACATAGTAAATGCTCCATAAATATGTGTTGACTAAATAAAGAACTACGTAAAACTACCTCATAAAGATAGAAGAAATCGTAGGTATGATCTAACTCTGATTAAAAAATAAAAACACTGGTCATGAGTTCTCACCAGAAATTATTAAAAGTCTGTTGTTTTGTGGTATAGTAGGAAAATTCTTGAAAGCAGAATAAGAGCATTTTAAAGTGTGACTATTATAAATTGCAGGATTTTACAATATTGACCATTGCAATATTACAAATTGCAACATTTGAGAGTATCACTCTGCTAAAAAGAAAGATGGATATACTGGGATCAGCATAATAGGATTCAAGGCCACCTTCGAAATCTTTTGGATTTAAATGAACTTACTTTGCTAAGTACATCAATTTCTTATGTTTTTGAAAGATACAAAGATTAAAAAAATGTAAAGTGATATTTATTTCTTTTTTACCCTAAAATGAGCAAAGGAAATAATACACTTGGTGTTTACATAGAAAATGTTATCTAAGAAGGCACAACTCTTTGAAAATAATCAATAATTCATCATCACTGTACTACTGTGAATTAGATTAGTATCTTGTCCTATGTCTACTGCAGAGACACTGAAATAAAAACATGATATGTATTGCTAATTTTCTGTGTGTCTAAAGGGATAGGGAAATTTGCTTTTAAAGAAAAGCAAGCTCAATTGAATTGCAAACAAAAAAAATTACCTTTTGCTTAAAAACACTGTTCAAACCTTAAGGTTTAAAATAAAAAAAATGACTTTCACAAATATAAAGCATGATAACTAATATTGTAAATTCTTGGAGGTGTGTGTAGATGTAATTCAGCGGTTCTCAGCCTGTGGGTCATGACCCCTTTAGCAGTCGAACGACCCTTTCACAGGGGTCGCCTAAGACCATCCTGCATATCAGATATTTACATTATGATTCATAACAGTAGCAACATTTTAGTTATGAAGTAGCAACGAAAATAATTTTATGGTTGGGTCACAACATGAGGAACTGTATTTAAAGGGCCAGAAGGTTGAGAACCACTGATGTAATTTATCTGTCTTTGTTTTATTTTCTATGGCTTATAGAGCTCTCTTAAAAATGACACAAAACAATAAACGAAAAACTAGCACAACCACAATGATTTCCTGTTAAGCACAAAAGGCTTTGCAAAGGTAAATATTGTTGCAAATGTAAGTATTGTTGAAAATGTTAGCGATTCCTCTTTGAGTTTTAATTGCCTCTGGGTTCTGAATTCCCTTGCACTTAACCTTCTCCAGGTGAATTAGCCAGGAGCGCCTCAGCGACCTGTCTTCTTTTGCCTTTCACAAGGCGTATAGGAGGTGGTGGACAGCCAGAGGTTTTATAGGATTGCAGTACAAGATTACCTTGGTCATCACTGTAATAGCAACTCAGGAAAGTCTCTAGTTGCCTAACCTGCTTCCCCCACAATACTTCACAAATTCTACAGAAACAGAAATAGAAGTTTTAATTACCTACATTTATAACTGTAGCATCCTTGGAGATTCATGCTGGATGTCTTAAATGCTGTTTTGGTCACTGTAAAAATATCTACCAAATGAGCAGGTTATTACAAAATGGAAAGGGCCAATAGAACCACAGAGATTGTCTCCCATACTGTTATGATGTTATGGTCATAAGGAAACCCCTCTAATGTGTGAAATGTTTGCTGTGTGGAGACCCCAATACTCTGTAACTTCCAAAATGTAATAAACATGGTGAACGTCCCAATATCTTGATGTAAACGCCCTAAGCCCCTAAAGTGTAAACGCCCTGCTCCTAGCATAAGGCACACCATCTGGCCCACACCGATAAGACACAAGTTGTTTACTACCGGCTATATAAGCACCCGACTGTCTTCAGTCGAGGTCTCCTGCCTGATGAGAGGAGGACTCCATGTCGCTCCGTGAGGTGAGCCCCTGACTGACTGCTCTGCTGTGCGAGCCTGAACCAACTGCGGCCACAGGTCTGTCCCCGTCTTCCTGTGTGCACCGCGGGTGGCCTTTGCTGGAGCCTAGGACCCACTAGGAATAGGTAAATAAACCTTGTGTGATTGCGTACTAATTGTCTTGTGTGTTCATGTGTTCCGGTTTGCCTCAACAGTCCCAGCCGTGGGCAAACTACGGCCCGCGGGCCGGATCCGGCCCGTTTGAAATGAATAAAACTAAAAAAAAAAAAAAAAAAAAAAAAAAAAAGACCATACCCTTTTATGTAATGATGTTTACTTTGAATTTATATTAGTTCACACAAACACTCCATCCATGCTTTTGTTCCGGCCCTCCGGTCCAGTTTAAGAACCCACTGTGCCCAACCGTGGTAGACTCTAGACCAGTGGTTCTCAACCTTGGCTGCACATTAGAATCACCTGGTAATCTTTTTAAAATCCTGATTCCTGGGCCTCATCCTCCAGAAATTGTTTCTTTGTTATGGGGTGGGGCCACAACATTAGTAACAAAGAAGCAGAATTTCCAGAGAAACCAAGATGGCGACATAGGTTAACTCCGGAGTTTGCTGCCTCGAACAACCACTTCATAAATACAACTAAAAGATGGAACGGACATCATCCAGAACCACAGGAAGGCTGGCTAAGTGGAAGTTCTACAACTAGGAGGAAAGAGAATAGCATACCAACTCAGAGGAGGCGCAGTGCTGAAGTGAAACACTAAGGTGCGGAGTGCATGCGGAGTGGGCTGGCGGCTGAGGGCGCGGTTGTTGTTTTCAATTGGGAGGGAGTTTCAGACTCTGAGCTCCAGATCCGGGTGAGTCTCTAGGGACCCAGACTCAAACGGGAGAAGCGGGACTGTCTGGCTTCGGTCGGAACTCAAAGGCAGCTTTCTCTCCGAGGTTTGCAGCGGTTGCTGGGACTCTGAGAGGCAGAGCTCCTGGGGATGGAACTGAGAGCAGCCATAACTGCTCGCTCCGCCCACCCTGTAGATCTCCAGGGACCCGCCCCGCCCAAGCCCTGCACACGCCCCGCCCAAGCCCTGCACAGAGGCATTTGCTGGATAGCCTTAGGCAAACCCTAGATTAGCACCACCCTAGAGATCCAGCACAGAAGTTCTCCCACTGCAGACACAGCGGACTCTCATAGCCAGTTAGCCTGGAGGTCAAATCACCCCCAGTATTGCCAACAACAATCAAGGCTTAACTACAACAAGACTGCGCACAAAGACCACAAGGGGGTGCACCAAGAAAGCATAAAAAATGCGGAGACAAAGAAACATGACAGAAATGGAGGAGATAAAGCTAAAAACCACACTTTTAAGGTCTTTCAATAATTTTCTAGAAACTGCCGATAAATGTAGTGAGATCCTCAAGAAATCTAATGAGACCCTCGATGTTGTGATAAAGAACCAACTAGAAATTAAGCATACACTGACTGAATAAAGAATATTATACAGACTCCCAACAGCAGACCAGAGGAGCGCAAGAATCAAGTCAAAGATTTGAAATGCGAAGAAGCAAAAAACATCCAACCGGAAAAGCAAAATGAAAAAAGAATCCAAAAATACGAAGATAGTGTAAGGAGCCTCTGGGACAGCTTCAAGCGTACCAACATCAGAATTATAGGGGTGCCAGAAGATGAGAGAGAGCAAGATATTGAAAACCTATTTGAAGAAATAATGACAGAAAACTTCCCCCTCCTGGTGAAAGAAATAGACTTACAAGTCCAGGAAGCGCAGAGAACCCCAAACGAAAGGAATCCAAAGAGGACCACACCAAGACACATCATAATTAAAATGCCAAGAGCAAAAGATAAAGAGAGAATCTTAAAAGCAGCAAGAGAAAGAAACTCAGTTACCTACAAGGAAATACCCATACGACTGTCAGCTGATTTCTCAACAGAAACTTTGCAGGCCAGGAGGGAGTGGCAAGAAATATTCAAAGTGATGAATGCCAAGAACCTACAACCAAGATTACTTTATCCAGCAAAGCTATCATTCAGAATTGAAGGTCAGATAAAGAGCTTCACAGATAAGGAAAAGCTAAAGGAGTTCATCACCACCAAACCAGTATTATATGAAATGCTGAAAGGTATCCTTTAAGAAGAGGAAGAGGAAGAAAAAGGTAAAGATACAAATTATGAACAGCAAACATGCATCTATCAACAAGTGAATCTAAGAATCAAGTGAATAAATAATCTGATGATCATAATAGAATCAGGGACATAGAAAGGGAATGGACTGACTATTCTTGGCGGGGGGGGGGGGGGGTGTGGGAGATGCGGGAAGAGACTGGACAAAAATCGTGCACCTATGGATGAGGATAGTGGGTGGGGAGTGAGGGCGGAGGGTGGGGCGGGAACTGGGAAGAGGAGAGTTATGGGGGGAAAAAAGAGGAACAAATGTAATAATCTGAACAATAAAGATTTAATAATAAAAAAAAAAGGAATGAAAAAAAAGAATTTACAGAGGATGAGGCCCAGAAATCAGGATTTTAAAAAGATTCGCAGGTGATTCTAATGTGCAGCCAAGGTTGAGAACCACTGGTCTAAACATTGAAGTACCAGGGGATAGGCCGTTATTGCTGAACCCTGGTCACCTGCATATGTCCCACTAAATCTAGGCAGATAATTAATTAATTGGGGCATAATTGGGACACATACCTATCAGAATGTAAGGTATTTATTTGTTGAAAGATGTGTTAGTTTCTTGCCTTGACAATGTGATTCTTATGAAATTAGTGGCAATGCTAATGTTTTGGCCCAAAGTTAAACAAATGGAAAGATTTTGTTTAATACTATGTTTTTAAAAACTGCTTATAATTCTGGAATGGCTTCAGATAAGCTAGGTTCGAAAATGAAAAACGAGCCAAATGAAAAGTAAAGCCACTTTCTTGGAAAAATAAGAAGGAACTGAATATTATAATGTTAGGTATAAAGTGCTTAGATCTTCTAGGCAATTTATTAAGGAGATTTTCTTTTAAGAAAATTAGAGGTATTTTGCAAATGTAATCTTTTCCCTGCTAATTTCTTTAAATTTCACGTATTTAGAGCAAAAATGATTTCATGGTCTTATGGAACTTGTAACAGAGATGTAATACACTTGGCAATTATAGCAAAAAGGACTTATATGATTACAGGGTTTCTGCATTTTACATGAAGTAGTACAATATTAACTCTGGATTGTGAAAAGTTAAAGATGTATACTCTAATCCCTAAAGTAACCAGTAAGAAAATAGAGATATAGCTAAAAAACAAACAAACCAACCAAAAATGGTAGGTAAATTAAATTAGAGTTCTAAACATTTTTTCCCAAATAATTAAAAAGAAGGCAGGAAAGTAGGAACAGAGGAACAACAACAACAAACAGTGGGGACAGAAAAATAGCAAAATGGTAGACCTAAATCTACTTTGTCAACTGTTACATCAAATGTTAACAGACTGAGAAGCTACAAGGAGATATTTCCCCCTTTTTTTGTTGTTGTTAATCCTCACCCAAGGATATTTTTCCATTGATTTTTTTTTAAGAGAAAGTAGAAGAGAGAGAGAGAGAGAGAGAGAGAGAGAGAGAGAGAGAGAGAGAGAGAGAAAAGCATCCATGTGAGAGAAAAACATCGATTGATTGCCTCCCTCACATGCCCTGACTGAATCGGGATTGAACCGGCAACCCAGGTATGTGCCCTTGACTGGGAATCAAACCCAAATTAATCTGGGGTCAGTTGATTAGACACAATATTGTAAGCCTGATGGTTACAGCCATAGCCAGGGAATGTGTTGAAAACCAGGCAGTTTGTCATACATAACCAAGATATATTATGCGCCAGGGTACTGCCCTCGGTCCTTTAACACACATTAATCCTATAATGTGCTTATTATTATACCAGTTTTGTACATGAGGAAAATGAAGGTTAACTGACTTGTTTTTCCTCATAGAAACATAGCAAGACACAGGGATGGGTGTTCTGATTTCACCTTCTGGACTCCACAATAGCATACCTGTCTCAAGTCAGGAGACACTCTAAGCATAGGGTAGCCTATCAGAGTTGAGGAATTAGGGAAACTGGACATGAGGTAACTGTCAGCTCTTCTAGAGGGCTTCCCACCCTCCCCTTGGGGCAGGAGTCAGTGGTTTCGGGTGCAGCATGCCTGGGCCTGCTGAGAGTAGCAGGTGAGCCCTGATAAGAAGCTGGTAAGTGGATTAATCTGTTTAGAGAGAAGCGCGGATCCTGCCTTGGAAAAAACTGTGGAGAATCAGAGGTGTCCTGTGTAGGAACAGACCCCAGAGCTTGGGTGGGCCCCAAAGGAGTGCTTTGTCTGCTGACTTGAAAAAAAAAATCTCATCCAAGCAGGAGAATACGGGCCGCTGTAGGAACAGAATGACAAGTGCATTCCTTGAGATTATATCTAGAAGGAGACAAGAATAACGGGGAGGTGGGGGATGTTCCAGGCCTTTGATCTTGTCTACCTGGCTGTCCACTCCTCCTCTTGGAGACGTCCTGCGGCAGGAAATGGTGACATCACCATGTGTTCGTCAGCACTCTCTTGTTCTGAGTCACCAAGGCTGTGAGCATAGCTACCCATCTGATTTCCAGGTAGATACTGCTCCCCTTTTAGGGGCTTAGCACCGTGCTCAGCGGCTCTCACTCAGGGAACTGCCAGACTTCCATTCAGTCGGGATTTCCTCCTTGGAATGTCATTCAGGGTCCTTGGAAGTAGGATCTTCTTTTATTAACATTACCCGATATTAACTAACTCTACATTGGGGGAAGAGGGCATAAAAACAGACAGTGGAATAAATTACAGTTCATTTTAACCATTCCTCATTGTTGAACAAGAATGCAGTTTCCAGTGATTTGTTACTCCAAACAGTGTCAAAGGAAACAACTTTCCACATAAATGCGCGCATGTGGATGAGTGTTTCTTGTAGGACAGACCTGTGGATGTGGAACTGAAGAGCCATTTCATTTAATGCTTATGTTTGTGTCATTTTAATTTATCAAATTAAAAACCTTTTTATTATGGAAATTTTCCAACAAATAGAAACAATGTAATGAACACTCCCTCACCCCTCTTTCTAGTTTTCACAATTATCAGCTCACAGCCAACCTTAATTTACCTATACTCCCACCCTTTCCCTGTCTTCCTCCCTTTGAAAGAATAATCCCCTTGATTATTTCAAAGCAAATGTGAGATGTATCATTTCATTTGTAACTATTTCAGTA